GTCTCCAGCCAGAGCGGTCCCCCTGGCTCTCCCCTCTCTGGTCTGTCGTGAGGAGGGAAGCAGGCACCCAAGCTCAGGAGGAGGAGGCAGGAGAAGGAGTAACGCGCTTTCATCTGCGTGGTGGGAACGGAAGAGAGTCACTGGCACGGCCCATTTGAAATGACTCGTGCAGCAAGTTCCCCACCAAGCCCCTTGGCGAGGGCCTCTGGGGTCGGATGTGGGAGCTGGTGCCCTTCTCTGCTACACTCGTGTTCCCTCTGGTCAGCGGTGGGCTGCCTGCAGCCTACGGGCCACGTGATCCCCCCGGGGCTCCGTGAGGCCCACGAGACATCAGGTTGCCGTTGCCCACATGCAGCGTTGCAGGTGCCGTCAGCAAAACTGCCCGATCCCAGGAGCCCGTCTTGGCTGCGAGGGGGAAGGGCCACTCCTGGGGCCCATCCCTAGCCTGGGTTGCCCGTCGCTGCTCCAGGTGCTTTGGCCTCTCTCAGATTGACCACGCTGCAGCTGGGAGCCAGACCCGCCTAGCAGCCCTTGAGCCGGGGCTCAGCCACTGTGTGGCAATGCGAGTCCTGCTGCACGGGCCTGGTTTGCAGCACGGGGAGAGCTCGGCTCTGCCCGGGCGCAGCTTGACTTGGCCAGCAGCCTTTTATTTCAGCCCTGGGCTCTCCAGCTGCGTCGCCTCTCAGGGGCCCTGCACGGAAGCTCAAGTGCACCCCCTGGTTTCCCAGCAAAGGGCTCAGGCCTGCAGCGCGCCGGCGAACGGCGTTTGCTAAAGATGTCTGTTGTCGCTTTGTGAGGCTCGGAAGCCGCCTGCTGCCATGGAGGCAGCCTGGTCTAATGATCAATGCAGGGAACTGGGGAGGGACTGAGATTGCATTCTTAGCTCTTCCACTGTGTGACCCTGGGCCAGTCACAGGTTTGCTCTGTGCCTCAGTTTCCCTCTCTGTAAAAGAGGGCCGGGTTGGCCTTGGCAGTTCGACTCCCTGCACCCCAAGCCAGGCGAGGAAGCTGCAGCTGGCTGGGGCCCCGTGGCACATGAACAGCCCATCTCCTTTGCGGGTGGGTCCGTGCCACAGGTGCTGAACTCCCATGTCTGCTGGTACCGGCAGCCAGTGGGAAACGAACGCGCCAGGCTGCTGTAAGGTTTGGGCCGGCTTGGAGCGCTTCTCCCCCTCCTCCCTGGGGATGCCGCAGTGGGCATGGCAGCACCTCAGCCAGGGCTGGGTGGAGCTGCGAGAGGACCTGGGCGAAGGCGTGGGCCCAGCCGTCTTGCAGCGCCGTTGGGGGCAGAGGTTGCTCCGGGCCCCCAGGGCTGAGCCCGGGGGAAGGGCAAACCCTGGGGCACATCCCCTCTCTCAGTGGCCGGTCCCCGCTTACCTTGCTCTTGCTGCTGGAGCAGCCCGTCTCTGCAGAGCCGCGCTGGAGGCCAGGCTGAGCCAGGCTGTCCGGCTTCGCCCCCTTTAAATAAGCAGCCGCGTTAATGACCCAGCTGGCCCCAGGGAGGCCGGCTCCGTGGGCTTTATTGCTGCACATTCCAGAGGCAGGGATCCCAGAGAGCGGGGCCGCTGACTGATTGGGCCTGTCTGAGCCGCACAATGGGAGCCGCGAGCTGGCTCTGACGAGGGCCCTTCACGCTCCTTTCATTGCCCACCTCGTTGGGAGAGAGCAACGTGCGCCGCCTTGTTAACGCCAACGTGAGTCACCCCCGGCGGACACGGGCGGCCCGGCCCGCGGGGCCCCTTGTTACTCCTGGACTGCACCTGCCTGCGCCTGTCGCCAGCTCTCTGAAGGGGCTGCTTGCCCCTGGCCAGTGCACCAGTGGGACCTGAAAGTGCCTGCTCCTGGCAAGAGCGTTCCCCTCAACAGCTGCCCAGCTGGGACCCCCTGGAAAAGCCCCTGTGTCTGCTTGGACCGGAGGTGCCCCGATGGCAGATCAACTGCTGGGCCAAGGAGGGAGAGTTGTGGGTTGGGGCCTGTCCGCTCTGCAGCCCAGAGTGAGGCCGTCTCTCCAGGGCACATGGCACCTAAGCCACGACGGGGTTGCAGCTTGGGTTAAATCACTGCCAGGAATTGCACTGGCTGGGCTGGGCCCAGGGGTGAGGAAC